TCTGGACCCTCTCCATGTTGTCCACGTCCCTCTTGAAGTACGGCGCCCAGAATTGGATGCAGTAGTCCAGCTGCAGCCTGACCAGTGCTGCACAGAGGGGAAGGATAGCCTCCTCGGACCTGCTCGAGATGCATCTGTGGATGCATGACAAGGTGCGGTTGGCCTTCCTGACTGCATACCCACACTGCTGGCCCATGTCCATCTTGGCATCAATGATGATTCCAAGATCCTTTCCCGCCTCTGCACTGACGAGAAGGGAGATACCCAGCCTGTAAGTATGCTGCTGGTTCTTCCCCCCCCAGGTGCATCACCTTGGATTTGTCAGTGTTGAAACCCATCCTGTTCTCATCTGCCCACCCCGTAACCTGTCTAGGTCTGATAGCAGCCTATTCCTCCCGTCTAGTGTGCCCACATCCCCCCACATCTTAGTGTCATCAGCAAATTTGAACAGGGTGCTTTTTACCCCCTCGTTCAAGTCACTGATGAAGATGTTGAACAGTGCGCATCCGAGAACCGAGCCCTGAGGAACCCCACTGCCCACATCCCTCCAGGTCGAAAATGACCCACCCACCACCACTCTCTGGGTGCGGCCCTCCAGCCAGTTAGCAACCCATTTGACTGTGTAGGTCTCAACGTCACAGTCCCCTAGTTTTTTAATGAGAATGGGGTGAGAGAGAGTGTCGAAGGCCTTCCTGAAGTCCAGAAAGACTATGTCCACTGCTACCCCTGCATCTAAGGATTTTGTGACCTGGTCATAGAAGACCACCAGGTTGGTCTGACAGGACCTACCTCTAATGAACCTGTTTTGGTTGCTCCTAGGCATAACTTCCCCCGCTGGCCCCTCATGGACATGTGCCAGGATAATTCTCTCAAAAAGCTTCCCAGGATTGAGGTAAGACTAAAACCTCTAAAATCAGTTAAAACCTTCTAAAATCTTATGAACAGACTTTTCTTAAACAGTCATTTTTTGGCTCTTCATCATGAAAGCTGCTTTTTCAGCAGAGGCCAAAAAGTACAATGCTATACTATACCAAATTCCTGAAGACCATAAATTAAAATAAATAAATAAATAAAATAAAAGGAGGTGTAGGTACAGGATAAAGTGATTTTTATCTAAATAGGAAGTATGAAGAGCTTCTGACCAAGTAAAATTAAGATCAAGTGAAACCTTTAACTGTGCATTGACCTTGTCTACAATACTTGGTTCTGAGAAAATGACAGCATCCCTGTAATCATTTTACCCTAAATTATTGGTCAAATACCTTTTTCAATCTATTGTATTGCAAATAATCATTCAATTTAGCATTCCGGAAGGACAGCATGCAACTATAAATTATTTAAAAGTTACAAAGTATAATTAAATTACTCAGTCTTAACCTCATCATAACAGATTTTCTGACGTATGGCCTTTGATGAAGGTTTTTTTCCTTTTAAAACATGTCATTTCATCAAAGCAAGAATGTCTTTCAGAAATGTATTGCTTCTTGGAAAGTTTATTGGGAAGGTGTCTCAGGTTCAGGAATGTGGTTAATGCAATCACTTGGGATGTGGGAGACCTCTGTTCAAGTGCCTGCTCTGTCCAATTCACAGCAGAGCTTGAAAATGGTGTTCCATGTTCCAGGTGAGTGTCCTAACATCTGGGCTACAGATGTGTGCATCCTCTTGTGTGTAATTTTTACCAAAAAATGGAAAGATTTCCTTTTCAATCTAATGAAGAATGAAGACAACTGGGGGGAAAAAAAGAACAACCCCCACCCCCTTGGAAACTAAAAAAAAAAAAAAAAAAATTTTTTCCC